TTTTAAATATATTCATATTTATATTATAAAAAGGACTTTAAAAATACTTTGCAATATGTCTGTCTATTCAGGTGCCTTACAGGAGTAGGGAATGAACAATAAGCAATGAATATTCAGAATAGAAAAAGAAGCAATCAGAAACAGTTCACAAAATTGGAAATGCAAATGGACAAACAAACAAAAAATGTTGGGATATTTCCCTATCAAATATAAAAAGTAAAAACAAAATTCTCATAAAGTCCTCATAAATTAGTAATTTAATATTACAGAGGAAGGCATAAAATTAATAGACAATGGGAACATGCATTATTCATTTGTGGTTAGGCTTCTGGGACATGGGAATTCTATGCACTGTTGAAAATAAATGCAATTGTAATGGAAATTAGTATAAAACTTCAGAAGTGTTATCTGCTAATATATCTCAAAAATCTTAAAATTGTATTTAGCTTGGAAATTAAACTTCTAGAAAATGTCCTGAGGAGACAGTGTTAATTTTCTGAAATGATTTATTTACTGTGATATTTATAATTCATAAGTGAAATATTAAAATAAATAAAGGTATCTGAAAAAAACTTCATCTTAGATGCTTCTAGCTATTTATCCAAATATCATTGGTCACCTTCCTCCTTCGTAACAGAACAACAATTTCATGCTAAACAGCAGGATGACCAGCCTCAATAAGGAATTTTTAACTCTCTTCGTCAATCATGGTTATCCCATTCCTGTTGGACTGATACTCATTCCCCAGTCTTGGCTTCTAGCTAGGGATAGCTGTATCACCAAGGTCTGGACCAAAATTAACACTGTCTCCTCAGGACATTTTCTAGAAGTTTAATTTCCAAGCTAAATACAATTTTAAGATTTTTGAGATACATTAGCAGATAACACCAAGGTCTGATAAAATAGGAAATCAGAAAATAAAGGCAAGCTATTTTGACCCCCCATCCCTGCTTCCTGACTTTGATTATGGTGTGAAGATGTTATGCTTTGAGTTGTGGCAACCATGATGTCACAATTAAGGACAAAACAGGAAGGTACCCAATATGAATGAAAAGACTGAATCCTTGATAACATGGTTGATCTGCCCAACAAACCAAAAGGGTGCCTGTCTCCAGACTACCTACATATGTGCTTATTTTAAGATTGTGTGAAGCTTTATGTCATATTTTTTCACTCTAAATATATTGATAAAAATATTGGTAAAAATATTGATTAAAAGTTTGTTTCTAATTTTTCTCATTAAGTTTATTTTTGAATAGCACATAAAATATAAACGTTGTACATATTAATGGGGTAGCACACTATTGTCTGATACATTGTATACTGTTTAAATCCATTAAACATATGTATCTCCTCAAACATTTATCACTTCTTTATGATGAAAACATTCAAAATCCTTTATTCTAGCTTTTGAAGTGCACAATATATTATTATCTATAATCATTTACTGCACAATAGCACAGCAGAACTTCTTGCTCTTATCTAACTGTAACTTAGTAAACAACCATTGGTCAACCTCTCAGCTTCCCTCCCTTTTCCTATTTTCCCCAGTCTCTGGTAACCACCATTCTACTATCAGTTTCTACGAGATCAAATTTTTTAGATAAAAAAATTTTCACATATGAGTGAGATCAAGTCGTAGTGTGTTGCGGTGTCTGACTTATTTCACATGAAACAATTATCTCCAGGTCCATCCAGGTTGACACAAATGAAAGAATTTCAAATATATATATATATATATATATATATTGGTACTAGGGATTGAACTCAGGGGCACTCAAATACTGAGCTATATTCCTAGCCCTTTTTAAAATTTTATTTAGAGACAAGGTCTCACTGAGTTACTTAGGGCCTCATTAAGTTGCTGAGGCTGGCTTTGAACTTGTAATCCTCCTGCTTCAGCTTCTCAAGTTGCTGGGATTACAGGTGTGCACCACCATGCCTAGCTTCATTCTTTTTTATTGTCTCATAGTATTCTATTTTTTATATGTAGCACGTTTTCTTTATCTGGTCGTCAGATGATGGACACTTAGGTTGTTTCCAATTTCTTGTCTCTTATGCCTAGTGCTACAGTAAACATTGAAGTGCAAATGCCTTTTCACCATACTGATTTTATTTCTTTTGGATATATAGCCAGTAGTTGGATCATATGCTAGTTCTATTTTTCCATTTGTAAATAATTTCAAACTGTACTAATATTTATTCCTAACAGCAGTGTGCAAGGTCCTCTTTTCTTCACATTATTGCCAGCACTTTCTATCTTGAGTCTTTTTTTTGGGGGGAGGGTTACCAGGGATTGAACCCAAGGGCACTTAACCACTGGGTCACATCCCCAGCCTTATTTTGTATTTCATTTTAGAGACAGGAACTCACTGAGTTGCTAAGTGCCTCTCTAAGTTGCTGAGGCTGGCTTTGAACTCATGATCCTCCTGCCTCAGCCTCCAGAGTTGAGGAATTACAACCGTGCACCACCATGCCCAGCTTCTTGAGTCATTTTGATAATAGCCATTCTTACTGAGATAGTGTATCTCACCATATTTTTTATTTACATTTCCCTAATGATTAGTGATGTTGAGCCTTTAAAAAAATTAGTTGTATATATGCACTCAATGCCTTTATTTGTTTTTATGTGGTCCTAGGATCAAACCCAGTGCCTCACACTTGCAAGGCAAGTGCTCTATCACTGAGCTACAACTACAGCCCATGTTGAGCATTTTTATATATCTATTTTCCATTTGTAAGTCTTCTTTTGATAAATATAATATTTCAACTTATAACACCCTGTTTTGTTCATAGGCAAAATCATTTGCCCACAGCAAAGATGGGACTCAAGCTCAGGTGTATCTGGCTCCAAAGTTTATATTTTTATTTTCGCTGCACTATTGTGATTTTGTACAAGTCACACAACCTCTTTGAATGTTGGTGGTCTCTTCTATAAAATGGGGCTTATAATACCTTCTTGATGGGACTGTTGTAAAAGCAAATAAGGTAATGCACATGAGAGCTCCTTAGACAGTACAAACTACTAGACAGGTAGAAGCTATTTATATATAAAGCTTTTAGCGGAGCATTTAAATTACAATTCATTCTTCTTCTATAGCTTTCTTGTGCTACTGAAGTAAATGTCATAGAGGTGCTGAATCAAATGTACATTTCATGGTGGGCTTCTTTTCTAAGCACTTGGTAAGAGCAGTTTGACAGATATATTTTTTTTCCCTTAAAGAAGTTCAGCTTTGCAAATATGGATGGCTTTTAAATTAATGGTCATGTACATGACATCAAAATTTGTAAGGCTTTTTATCATGAGTTTTGAAGGTATTTGAAATAGATTTTTGTCAAGGCAAGCAGCTTCTTCCATTGAATCCATTCTAATATCCAGCACGTCCTAACTTCTGGTGGACTTTCCTTGGTCTTTGAATCCCTTTATTGACTATGGGGGCATCCACTGTGGGACACAATCTCATATGTAAAGAGAGGGAAGGAGGAAGAAAAGGAAAGTGGTGGAAATATCGAATGATTTTAACAAAATTACATTATATACATACATAAATGTACCAAAGAGAATTTCACCTTTACATATATGTAGAAAGTATCAAAAAAAATGAGTGAAAGGAAGTTTGTTAGAGCAGAGGAAATACAGTAGGGGTAGGGAGGAGGAGAAGGAAATATAGTACGGAATAGGGATTGAAATAAAAAAATCTTACATATATGATTTTGTAAAAATGAACCCAACTAATGTGTTTAACTGGAAATCTCTAATAATAAAAATAAATAAATCTCTAATAATAAAAATAAATAAAATTAGAATTAATGTTTTTACCCTTGATATACCTGAGCTTTATTCTCTTTATTTTTTTAAGTACAGAGGTAGGAAGAATGTGGGCTATATAATCACTTTATTTTCTTTCAGACAGGATTATGCTACTCTCCTATTCAGAACCCTCCAAAGCGTTCTTAGTGCACTTAGGAAAAAAGATAATTTCTCATCATAGACTTCAGGTCCCCACATATTCTTACTAATATGTCCCCCTCTCTCACTATATACAACTGTCCCTCTCACTCACCATACAATAGATGTATAAACCTTCTTCCCTGAACATACCCTGCTCATTTTCATCTTAGGACTACACTAGCCATATCCTCTTACCAAAAAGCATAGGCTTATGGAGTCCTTCCCTGGCCACCTAGTCACTTAGTATTAAATCATCCTACTTTAATTCTTGCCATAGATTCAGGTCTATATTCTTTATTTATCTATATATGTATCTCAATTTTATTTGTATCACTAATACAAATCCAAGGTTCATGAGAGAAAACACATTTGTCTATTGTGCATATCCATGGTGCCAACAACCATGTTTGCATAAAACACAATGTGAGTCTAGAAAAACTACTGGCTATTTTCTCCCAGTCTCTAGCTGAAGCTCAAATTTAATATCACCCCTAGTTCAGGGACCAACAAGAGACCTAACAGCAGGAACAATTGAACAACTCCATCCTTGCACTTATCATCTCTGCTTTGCTGGTCATTTTGTTGTGATTTTACCTCTATTTCGAATGCTAGAGTTCTTCTGTTTCCTCAATCCTGAATCCTCTTTTGTGTAGCCTTCTCAGTAACCCAGACCCTCTAGACAGAGGATACACTTTAGCCTTTGTGGTTCTTCTTTCTACTCCCATTCTCAAGACCTAATATCTGGCTCCTGAATACCAAGTAGGTAGTTCTTTCTTTAGTTGTCAGATTTCTCTAATGCTTAACGATCCTTCTGAGCCTCTGCATTCCATCTCATATTGAGATATACCTTATTATCTCATATAACCTGATCCTCTAGCTAACTTCCTGCTAAACAATGACTACTGATGCATACTCTCTGGATTTCATGTCTTATCTGCTGAACTGGATCAGTCATAGCTGAGAATGACTCTCCTAATCTTGGTCCCTCTAAGTTGAGAGACTGATTACTAAGATGTCAAAAAACAGTATACTAATTTGGAGGACTTACCTTGGAGAGCTCTTGTCCAGGACCACACTGTTGGCATGTGACGCACCGTCCCCATTGGTCCTGGTATTCATTTTCTTGGCAATCCATGGTAAGAAGGCTGTAGGTACAGAACACAAGAACTAGGAAGATAATGGGAAGGAATAGCAAGATAAGTTGTGGCTTCCATGATGCTTGACTTCTGGTTATCTAATCTCATGTTCTTAGTTAGAGGGACTAAGAAGGCCAGCACAAAACATCTAATGCTTATATAGCTCTAAATCTTCTAAATGCTTTATACGTAATAGTTCAGTTCTTAAGTAATTGTATAAGAGATCATTATTTGCTCTATTTTTCAGATGAGGAAATTGAGGCACAGAGGCCAAAGAACTTTCCCAGAGTTTCACAGTTGTGATGTTACCAAGAACTGAACTGGTAAATAGAATAACACAAGTAGTTGGCTTATGTCTGGGCAGGGGGACATAAACACTGCAATCTCTGATGTGTGTTTTAATAGTATGGAAAGTATTTACATCTGTTATTATTATACTTTATTATTTAATCTGTACATTAATCCCTGTGAGTGAATCAGTGTAAGGATTGTCATCTTTATTTTATGGATGGAAATCCTAAAACATGGTCCTCCTTTGCCAACAGTGTCTTCAGTACTTCTGAGGACCATTAGCTGCCATTGCTCCTGTCCTAGGTAGAAAGGGAGGGGAAGATGACCCATCATGCAAATATCCTTGTGCACTAAGGTGTAGAGAGAACAGAACATTATTTTAACAGAGATATGTTAGAAGAGAGATGAGAGATGGCCTAGGGCAATAGCACTTGAATTGTACTTATATTTGACATGTATGGATTTTAATCTTGTCTATAGGATAAGGATAACCCTTGTTTACCCAGGACTAAGAGGTTTCCCAGGACATGAGCTTTTTAGCACTAAAATGGAGATTCCCAAGCAAGGTGAAAAGGTCAATCAACATACTTGACTCTTTCATTTCAACCTATAATCTGAATGAATTATTTCATCTTTTCTGGCCTCAGTTACTTAATCTGAGTAAAAGGCACAGTATATTCCTTACCTCAATTAAATATCTCTTGAGGGGATTAAATGAGCTCAGGTTCATCAAAATATCCTGAAGGCCTTAAAGAACTATACAAAATAAGACACAGTTAAGTATTCAGACAGGTAGTCTTCTACAAAGAGGAATTTTAATGAATGTGGCTAAAACTATTAATAAGTGAGGCCTTTCCTTCTTAAAGATCAAGGTGTTCTCAGGTCCCTTTGTGCACTCATTGAATACCATGGTGAATTTCAGGTGGTTTCTCAAATACTGAAAGTCCTGAATTTGTACTTCATCAGAAAAGACAGCACATGTGTACCTAAAAAAGGCCAACACTCCTCTAAGAGTCTTCAATGGAGAAGGAGTAAGACATCCTGACTAACATTTTTGCTTCAGTAAAACTTTTCTCTATGTGGAGTGGGCTATTCTTTCCCACTCTTTCATTTATAGGGAATTGGCCTACAAAATCCAATCCATTTTTGCACAAGATATCCTCTCCTGTTTTTGTTTGATAACTTTGCCCATAGTGTTAGCCTCTGGAGGCACGCTCCCCTCTCCTTACTACCCACCTTTCTCATTGAGCACAAAAATCATCATTGGTCTCATATAGTCTTATGACAAGGTATTTCAGCACCATGGGAATAAAGTCATCATACTGGTCTGGAAATCTCTTCTGTATCCTTTTCTTGCCCAGAAAAACAGGAAAATATTGGCAGGAGCCCAAAAAACAACCCACTTTTTGAGATAAGCTCTCAAACAGGCATCTGAAATCTTCATGGTAGCTGCTGCTGGCCTTGGAATGTCTGGGGCAAACTATTGGTTTGGTTTCAAGACACCTACCTACCTAATAAACATGAACCTTAACACAGCCCTATAACCCTGGTTTTGGGATTCTCCCTAGGTAAAATGGGCTGATTGCCAAATCCCCAAAGGAATTAGGGAATACATAAAAAAACTTATTTTCCTCTCCTTTTTGTCAAACATTTAATTCAAACCATATAAATTAATTTGTCTTGTGTTAGAAGCTTAAGAAATTGCCTTTATTAAAGAGAATAAAATCACATGGATCTTGGACAATTCTGAAGAAGTTGGCATATGGGTAAAACTGCCTAATAGGGGTTAAATTTCACTATCCTGGGACAATGTGAGAATTTATATCAAGTTTTTCCCAGTGGTCAGCAGTATCTTGCAACAAATGTAACTGCCTTTTCATTTTAAGAAAAAGAACAAAGAATAAATAGGTTTTGAAAAATCAGCTGCTCATGTATCTGTAGCTAGGTATTCTTCTAGAGTATCACCAAAGATGCAGCTAAATCCCACAAACTTCTAAGTTGGCATTGTAGACAGACCTATAAAATTCCCAGAGTAGAGACCATTTCATATCCAGTACCTGGAAGAGTGGTACCTCAACAGTCCTTATTATTTGTTAGCTTGTCAGTGTGCTTTGTTTCTAGGACTATGGTAAAAGATGCACATGTGTTTAGTCACCTAGATATTTTTTCTCACAGATAATTTGAAAATTAATCATTTCAAACAATGATTAATAATTCTATCAAAAGAAAAAAGCAAAGATCTGAATTAGTGACATGCAGACTTGTGTTTGAATTCCAACTCTACAATTTAGTAGTCATGTGTCCTCAAAAAAATGGTTCCATCTTTCATGGAATCAGTTTCTTCATCTGTAAAAATGGCAATTTAAAATAATAGTTTCCACAAATTAAAAAAAAAAGCATTTCGAAAGGTAAAAAATAAAATGAAATAATACCTTCCTTATAGATTATTCTAGAGGATTAAATGCAATAATGCATGTTAAAGGACCTAGTATAGGGCTTGGCACTTATGAGACAATTGATAATTAGTAGGTTCTCTTCCCAATCTTCCCTGGTTTAGAGGGGCCCTTTTCCCTATCCCCTTCAGAAGGGTGGGGTTACACTATGAGCAATGTACACTGGCCTCTCTTCAGATTTGTAGTGAAGAAAAGGGAAAGGCGTCCATTTCTTTTACATTGACCCACCCCAGCACAAAGCACGAAGCTGGAGCACCAAGACCATGCCTAAGACACTAGTGTCATTATAGCATCTTCCTCCTTACTAACTGCTACCATTAGTGACTTAAAGCTTAAGGACAAGATTCCCCATAATACCTTCAGTACCTAAGTCACTTTGACTAAAAGGAACATTGTTCTCAGTATTTTCTGGATATTTTTGATCAAGATATTTTGTACAGGGTGAACTTGGTTGAAAAGAGTTTTAAAACCTTTCTGAGACAATTGCCTTTGAAATGAAAGTGCAAAAGAAATAAAATTTGATTTATAGATAAGTGAGGATGTCATTAGAGACTCTGTTGAACAGCAGATCATTTTCAACAGAACAATCCCTCCCACTTCTACAATCTGAGGCTCAAAAATTTTTTTTCACTCCAACTCTGACATCTGATTTTGTTCTCCTTCTATTATTTCTATCACTACATTAGTGTGGGGCAGGGAAATAAGGTAAGGGTCAGGCATCAATTTTCTCCTCCCTTTGAGTATGATACATTCTAGAGTTCATCTGCGAAGACTTCCACTCACTTAACTGTACTGTTTGCAGTTACATCTTGAAAAACTGCCTCTAACTTGCCAACAACTCAATAAAAGAACAGACAAAGGAAATGATAATGAACAAAGCCCACATAGTTGCAGTGGACAAAAGTCTATGGTTTATGATAGGAATTCCAACTCTATCCTCAACAGAAATTCCCCGCTGAAGTTTGGGAAGCTCACTCAGTTTCTTCATCCATAAAATGGGGATATTTCTATCCTACCTGTATAATGTTTAAGAGTAGTTTGGACATCACGGATAATGTGGAAGTGCTCTAGAAACTTCATGTAGGTCACATACTAGGACTGTTTTTTATTAACATACCACATATATCCATAAAATATGAAGCAAACTTATACATTTTTACATATGCATATACTCATGGAAACACTACACAGATAAAGATACAGAACTTTACATTATCTCAGCCAGCCACCCTCAAGCCCCTTTTCCAGTCAACCCCATCTCCAGGTAATTACTCCTCTGGGTTTCTGTCACTATGATTATTTTTACCTGACCTTGAACTCCATATAAATTAAATAATACAATATACACCCTTATTTCTGGATTATAAAGCTTTTCTAGTAAGAAACATTTAAAAATTCTGTAATTTGTAATTGTTTTCTTCTAAGAAAATATAAGTGTAAATATTTATGACCTTGGATTAGGTAATAGTTTCTTAGCTATAACACCAAAAGCACAAGAAAAAAAAGAAAAAAAATTATGCTTAAATTTAGAATTCAAAAATTCAAAACTTTTCTGCTTCAAAGGACACTATAAAGATATTAGGAATGAGGAGGGAAGATGACATAATGAGTGGCTGGATTTGATTAGTTGACACTGTTTACATGTGTTGAAATATCACACTGAACATCATTAATATTTATAGTTAATGTATTCTAATTAAAATACTAATAAAATGTTTAGAAAATAAAAAGTGAAAAGAAATTAGAAGATAACTCACACAATGGGAAACAAAAATTTGCAAATCCTGTACCTGATAGGAGATTTGCAACTAGAATATACCAAGAACACTTACAACTAAAACACAGACAACACAATTTAAAGTGGGTAAAGTATTGAAACAGATGTTAATCCAAGAAATATAAAAATGCCAATCAGCCTATGAAAATATGCTCAGTATCATTAATAATAAGGGGAACACAAATTAAAACTGCAAGAGGGCTAGGGTTGTGGCTCAGTGGTAGAGTGCTTGCCTCACACACATGAGGCCCTGGGTTCGATCCTCAGAACCACATAAAAATAAATAAAGATTAAAAAATTAAGACTGCAAGAAAGTATCACTTTATGTGCACTAGGCTGGCTATAAAAAGATTAGACAAAGAAGTGTTGTTGTAAAGGATGTAGAGAAATTGGAACCCTGATATAAGTCTTGTGAGATGTAACATGGTGCTACCCCTTTAGAAAATGTATATTTTTTTCTTTCTCAAAGTATTAAATATAGAGTTACTACATGACTCATCAATTCCATTCCTAAGTATAAACCCCAAAGAATTGAAAGCACATGTTAAATTCATATAGGAATATTCCTAGAAGCATTATTCATAATAGACAAAAGCAGACAAATCCCCAAATGTCAATTAAAATGATAAGCAGATAGACAAAACTTGGTCTATCCATGCAATGAAAAATTATTCAGCAAAAGTGAAAATCCACAAAGCCAGGCACAGTAGCTCATGCCTATAATCCCTGAGGCTCAGGAGGCTGAGGCAGGAAGATCAAAAATTCAAAGCCAGCCTCAGCAACTTAGTGAGGCCCTGTGTCAAATTCAAAACTAAAAAAAAAAAAAGGATGGGGATGTAGGTCAGTGGTTAAGCACCCCTGGGTTCATTCCCTGTGCAACAAAACTATACTAAACTAAACTAAACATAAAGTGCTTAATAGGTGCAATAATGTGGATGAAACTTGAAAACATTTTGCTAAGTGACAGAAGTCACACACAAAAGGGCAAATATTATATGATTTCATTTATATAAAAAGTTCAGAATAGGCAATCCATAGAAAGGAAGTAGATTTAGTGTTTTCTAGGGATTAGAGGAAGGAAGGAATGAGTGATTAATGGATGTGAATTTCTTATGTAGTGATAAAATGACCTGGGATTAGAGAGGAGTAATGGTTGTATGATGGTTGTATGAATTACAAAAACTGAGTAAACTGAGTAAACTCTATACACTTAAAAAGGATAATTTTTGTAATATGTGAATTAGATCTCATTTTTTAGAAATGATGGTTCATCCATTTTTTGTTTAATATTGTGAATTATCCTATACTATTCCAATACATCTTGTCTAAGTTAGCCCCAAAATATAAAAAAAGGAAAAAGAAAAAGAAAAAATGAAAGCTGCAATGAATATTCTTTTATGTGTCTTTAAGTGTAATGTTTTGTTTAATCCAAATCTATCTGGTTAATTATATATATCAGGAGAGCTGACAAGTGGCCACATGACTAGTGTATCTTTATTTGGCCTTTGTCATGTGGATGCTGTCCCTGCCCATTACCTCTGTCCTGGTTCCCCAAAAGATAACCTAGAAGAGTAAGAATGTAGCAGACAGGAAAGAGGAGAAGCAATGAGGCTGACATTAATGATAATCCCCACATTAGCTCATTGTGCCCTGAATAATTGCTTCTGGCCAAGTTTCTGCTGGATGTGAGGTGCTCAGGCGCTGGGGGTGCAGCTGCCTCTGGCCACAGCTTGCGGCTGCTGCTCTTCTCAACTTGCACACATGCCTATGGAGTGAAACATGCCCTCTCTATCTAGGATGGGTAGGCAGAACAGGATGACAAATCTAAATTAAGAACTCAGGACTTCAGGATATTTGCTTTGCCTGGACAGTGCAGAAGGTCTGGGATTAGAAAGGGTGAGGAAGACAGCAGCTGGTCCATGCCCTGCCCATTCCTCTCCTGTGAGCCCACTCACCCACCCACATGCACAGGACTGGCAAAATCAAGGCAGTTGCTCCACCTGGCCTTGAGGATACTCCTTTCTTGAAAATCAAATTTCTTATCAGTACAATGCCTTCATCATTTTCAGATGTTGGGCCTATCAGCCAGATGTTGCTTTACCATTTATTGGTGGCTGTCAGCCTTCCCCTTTCTGGGTTGGCCAACAGTCACTCCTATCCCAACTTTCTCTTGTTCATGAGCTACTTCCAAACTACCAAACATCTTCTTCCAGCCCCATTGTTCGTGAATTTTATATTTCCTGTTTCAAGTCAGTATGGTGAATGGTCCCAGGCCCAGCTCTGCCATCAGGAGCATATGACTACCCAATGCCAGGTCTGAGGTTCCTGTTTGTAACATGAGGGAGCTTGCTTAGCCAATCTCTTAAACCAGTGGTGCTTGCTATTTGCTGCATCTTGGGAGCTCCAGAATATACTGATACTTGGGATTCAACCCTGAGAATCTGATGTGATTAGTCTGGAGTGTGACCTGAAGATCTGGAACTTATACAGCTCCCCAAGTGATTCTCATGTGTAGTTAAAGTTAAATCTATTATATTGATAAGGAAACTCTTTTGGGTCTGACCACGTCTGTTTTGTCTGAATATAAGGTGCAGTCATAAAAGGTTTACCCATCCCCCATATAACAGAAGGAATTCTATGGAGAAGTAACCTGTGTCATACCCATTTTTTCAGGGGTCTAAAAAATGAGAAAGGTAAAGGGGATGAAGGTGGTATGAATATTTTAAAATATGCTACATCATGTCATCTCCAACTTATAATTCCATTAGCAACTCCTACTTCCACTCATAAAAGTCAAGTGCCCAATGAATGTTGAGGCCTTAGACAATTTGCTTACCTCAACTTCCTCAATTACTTCTTTGACTCCTGCTCTCCTTACTTTCTTCACTGCAGGCATGCTGGCCACCTTCCTATTCTTCAAATTTGCTAGGAATGCTCTCACCTTAGGCCCGTCACACCTGCTCAAGCCAGGAATATCCTTGCCCATGACCAGTGCCCTCAACCTCTTCAGTTCTTTGTCCTTGTAACATTATCTTGGTAAGGCCTTTCTGACCACTATTTTAAAATTGCAACTTCCTACCATACTACTTATCCCCCTTTCCTGTTTTATTATCCCCTATAGCACTTATGACCCTCTGGCCTGTCAAATATTTTGATTATTTTTATTGTTTGTGCTTTCCCTAACTAGAATGTAAACACCATGAGATGGGATGCCTGCCATGTTCACTACTTCATATTTGGTGATTAGAACAGTACATGGCATATAGAACACTAAATAAATACTGGTTTGATGAGCAAATGGTGGAAATCTACAGAATAAAGGTTACAATCTTCTGCCTGAGTGAAATATTTCACAGTTCATGAGGGGTTTCATATTGATTTACTTAACAGACTTTCACAATAACCCAAGGAGGAAACTAAGGATTATTATCACCAATTAACATACTTACAAAGAGAGAAAAAATGAGTTTCAGATAAAAAGTATTAAGTTTATTTAGTTAGTAAGAAGTATTCAAAGATAATTTAGGGCCTATGAATGAGACATGCTTTCCAAGGTAGTATTGAACTAAAATAGGGAATAGAGATCTTCCCAGCCTTCACTGAAATTTAATTTTTCTTCAGTGATATTTTGTGTGGGCCAAAAAAAAATGCATTTTTGAATACTAATCTGATTGTGCTTTAAATAATGGTTTGACAGGATTACGGATCCAAGCCTTACATAAGAGGGCCAGGACAAGGGTGGTAGCAATAGAAATAGAGAGGAAGTGGCATTAGAAGATATAGGCCTTACAAAGTGAGCACCAAGAAAAAGATATTAGCTAGAGAAATTTCTGGGAGTTGCTGGATGGGAAACCATAAGAATCCCAGGGTCATAAAGATTGTGGGGGACTTGCTTGGTAGGAGAAAAGGTAATACACTGTTTTTCAATCTTACTAAGTATGAAGAGTTGGAGGGGACAGAAGAACATTGCAATGGTCATGTCCAGTATACAGAACATATATAGTTTGGAGTTACAGACAAGTCATGTGTATAAGACCAGAATAGTCATGCTTGCTCATGACTTCATATCAGAAATCAATTCTGTGAGACTTTTTTAAAAATACCAGTTCCCAAGATTTAATAAATCAAAACCTCTGGGGGTTTAAGAACCACTGGCCTTGGGATTGGGATATAGCTCTGTTGGTAGAGTGCTTGCCTTGCATGCACAAAGCCCTGGGTTCAATCCCCAGCCACACACACACACACACACACACACACACACACACACACACCACTGGCCTAGGTAAATTTTGGCAGAGGATCAGGTGGGTAAAGAAGAATGCTAAGAACAAAACATTGAGTGACACCCATATTTGATTCTAGAAGAGGAATAACGATTGGTAAACAAGTAGGGTAAGACAGGGAAGAAAGAACAGAAACGGGACAGGATAATAAAGATAGTAAATGACAAACTTTGAAGAAAGTAGGGTAAGAAATAGTGTCAGCTGTTGTGAATATAAGGAGGTGAAGGAGTGTTCAGGACTGGAGATGTGTTATTTTAAGTTTACTTCATGTGTGTGTGTGATGAAAGTAAATTGCATTTTTATGTTCAAGTATGCTAAAATATGTGCCTGGAATAGAAATAACTCAGAGGTGGTTACTACAGTTTTTAACAGGTTTCACTCTCTATTTCCAAATGGCTGAAGAATTTTAACTGTTAGTGATAGTAACATCTGGTCCAGCTAAATCAGGATTAGCATAACAACAAGGGTAAATGAAGGGAGCTGGTGCAAAATTAAAGAAACCTCACCTGTTTGCTGTGTCTTTTATTCCAGTGTACAAAGTGAGAAGTAATGTCCCAGCTGGGGGAGAAAAGAAAAAAATAATCATATTAAAAGAAGTTGTCACAGTACAGAAAGAATTAATAACCAATTGAACTGTCCATTTTCACTCACCAAAGGCAAACACTAACCATATGAGTCAAGTGCTTCTTTTTCAAAATACACACACACACACACACACACACACACACACACACACACACACACTGCAAAGAAAGCACAAACCTCAAAAGACAAATGGAGCTGAGCACTGTAAATTAAGTAAAAGTAAAAGCTAAAATACATAAATATTTGGTTAGAATCTGGCAATGAGTGAAAAAGACTTTTTAAAAGGAGAAAAAGAATTGTGCAACTGAAAATATAGACATAATTAACAAAACAAATGGGATGAAATTAAGACCAATAAACTTTGAGCTGATTATAAGGAGAAATATCCTTTTAATGATTGCTGAGACAATCTTCCCTAGTGGGAGCAAAGACACCAAAAATACCCTGGATGATGTTCCAGGGAAAAATGAGATAATGTATGTGAGAGTACTCTGGAAACTCCTGATTGTGTTACACATGTGAGGAGTTGCTATGATTGTTGTTATTATCCCACCCAGAACTTGGGAGCAAAGGGCACTGGAGACAAGCCTCAGGCCAGACCAACATTTAGCCAAAACTCAAAGCCTCCACTTTGCTCTACTGTCACCCTAGCCAAAGTGAGTCACTTATTTGTGTACTGACCACCATAAGACACCATGAAATTATTGTATCATCAAAAATTAGTTACTCCACCAGCAGTACTGGGAGTGGAGATTCATTAACTTCCCAAGGAGGCTTTTGGCTGAGTTGTCCCAGCTGGGACTTGAATTCATTTCTTTGCAAAGCTGGGAACTGGACAAAATTCAGTCGAGTGTTCTAATTTCTGATTTCTATTAATTTTTTGGTCTTGCCCCACATTGTCTCCACCCTAATTTACCAAGCAATCTAGAATAATTGTATCTCTCTGAATATAGCAATAAAAACAATCCCCTTTCCCCCCTAACAATCCAAATTCATTTATTCCATACCTTCCTCATAGGCCAGGGAATGAAACATCCTAAAGAAGGAGGGTATTTGCATAAAACCCAGAGCAACAAACATCCTTATGGTAAGACATGGTGAATAAACCCATAGAATGAGACCTATTTGTACAGGATGTGATACTTCTGCCAAAATATTTATTGCCCTTTAAAAAGAAGTCTAAGGAAGAAAGAAATACAACACAGTGAGTTTGAGAGGGTAAGGTGAAACTGAAAAGAAGAAACTTGTTGTTTCATATGTAAATACACATTCTCTGAAATAATTTCCAGCCTCTGACAATCTAGAGTCAAAGTGAGTTTAAAACTCTTCTTAGTCCCAGCTGCTTGTCATGCAGTAAAGGAATCCCATCTATTTCTGCTTGAACTCCTTTAGTAACAGGCAGCTCAGTACTCACAAAACAGCACATTCTAATATATTTTTTCCTTCTCTTTGAAAACTGTTTAAACTTTTCAAACTATTAAACAATTAGAAATATAGAGTCACAGAATTCTAAAAGGATTCTTCAGTATAAACTAACTCAATTCCCTTATGGTCCAGATGGAGAAACTGAGGCTTAGAGAAGGAATAGAATTTTCCCAAAGTCACATAATTGGTTAGTGGCAGAGTTGGGACTAAAATCCAAGTCTCCATGTTCAGGCCCAGTGGCTTGTTTATTTCCCATACATAAAGAGAGAAATGGGCCGAGCTTCTGGATTGATTACTCAGTGACCATGTTTCCAAGGCTTCAGCTTCTTGTCTTCACACCCACAACCTAACATTGGCTCATTTTACCCTAAACAGAACAAATCCAAAGGGTGGACTGGGTCAGGGAAAGGTGGCTCATGGAAGGGAAGCAGTGCTGCCCACTCTTTTGGCTCATCCACCATGGTGACTAACAACCTCCTGGAAGCAATGACATGTTACTGCTTAATTCCACCATATATTACATGGCAATTCTTTTATTTGTGAGAATGGTATGATTACTTTGGGGGATACTTGGGGGACATAATACCTGTTAACACTCCAGGATGTCGAGTCACTCAAAACTCACTTGATAAGTGCCTTCTATGCTAGGAATTCTATTAGAACTTAGTAACAGGAGGGAAAACCAGAGGTTTCCACCTGTAGCAAATCATGCCTGGTGGGGAAATTGAGAATATATACTGTTAACTCTAATCCAAGACAGATTATGGCCATCCTCATATCTCCCAGGAGCACAGAATAGTTACGGTCCTTTTATAGACTGATGGCAAGAATAACCTATATCCTTCCTGTTAAGCTCCCAAAGGGAAAATACATGGATTTTCAGAAAGAGAGCAAAAAAAAAAATCATCTGCTTCAAAATTAAGCTTTAGCTCTGAAAAAATAGCTCCAAAAGATGTCTCACCATCTTTAGAAGGCATTCAAATGGAGCAGGTCAATAAGACATCAAAGGAGAGTCATGTGGCCAGTCACAGGCCTTTCCCCTGGGTCTAGGAACTTTGTTCCTTGAATGGTTTCAAGAGAACTTTCAAAGGAATGGCTGGCATAAGGTGATTGATTGGAGGATCTTACTTCCTCTTGCCTCCTTCTCTAGTGCCAGAGCTGATCTAATTGCTTAGCTATGGCCATAAACCCAAATAGCTACTGAAAATCAAAAAACAAACAAACAAACTTGATGTTAAAAAAAAAGTGATCCCAATCTTGGCTCAGACACATACTAACTATCTGGCAAGTTTCATTTCTCTGCCTTCCCTAGTTGGGTTGAGGTGTCATTGGGATTATGGTTTAAAACATACATAATAATTTTTTTCTCACATTCACTCATCATGTTACTTTCACAGTGTTCCACATCATTATGAAGGTGTTACCACCCCAATTTAAATAGTTCAAAACCTCAGACACATATCTGATTTGACTCCATGTCATGTGAGAAATGGAAGCAATTTGAGTGTTTTGACCTAGGGAGAGAAAATGTAGGTAATCTGGCCTCTGCTCTTCCGATCTTTGAAGACTTCTCAAGGAAGATAAAGAGCAGACTGCTCTGGGTGGTCCCAGAGAGAATAATTAGGACATCTAGGGTCAAGTCATAGGTAAACCAAGTCCAGATTACCAAAAGGGAAAACCTTTAACAGTCAAGGCTTTCCTTGAATGGAATGAGTCTTTCAAAGAGCAGAGAAGAGAGCAGAATCCAAGAGATTCTGAATCTCACATTGTTCTTTTTTAAGCCCATATAATTTATCAACTTCAAATTTCTGAATATTCAACTTATGTGATACCTTGATAAATGAACTGCCTCCTTTCCAGTCCCACATCCACCAAGCTCCAAGGCCTTGTTCCCTCTCTGTATATAGTTTATCCACCTCTTGATTTCTTCTATTCCAATATGGCTGACTTATGTTCATAAGATTATTCTTCCTATAGTACATATCTGTTTTTCTTTAGTTCAGAAACTCTTAATAGCTATCCACTGTCTGCCAAATCAAATTTGAAACTGAAATATCCAAAGTCTTTTGTGGTTTACCACCAATATAACATGGCAAATTTAACTTCCACTTTTCTCTCAATTGTAAGTTAAAATCCATCTCAGCTGGTGTTCTTTTCATGTGCTCCAAGCTCCCCTGTCTTCAAGCAGTTGTTCCTGTTGTTTTCTTTGCTTATACTGCCCTCTCTCCTATTCTCCACCTGTTGAAATCCTATCTGTACTCCACGGTCTAGCTTAAATAATAATAGTTAACATTTATTGAGTGCTTATTTTGGGCCAGCCACTGTGCTAAGCATGTGCAAGTATTTTACATGGATTATCTCATTTAATCCTCACAACAACCCAATGAGGTAGGTGCTATTATTATCTCCACTTTAGCCTGGAGTTTACTAAAGCTCAGAGGGGGGAAGTAATTCTGTTTGTTCAAGGGCACACCAGTTAATAAATGGTGGGGATGGAATCTGAATCCAAAGAGTTTGCCTCTGGAGTGCTGACAGGTGTTATTATTTCAAAAAACAATCCAAAATGTTCTCATATTTTTTCTAACTCAAGTTGATAGGATCCTTACTTGAGAACCTCAGAGCACTTTACTCCTTGAAGATCTATATTCTATTATATTTACTTGGGTTCTTGTACCCATGATGAGCCTGACAAGCCCCAGTGGCCACAGCCTAGATTTTGCACTTCTCACTGTCTCAAACTTGATGGCCCAGAGTAAGTCCTTAATAAGGTTGTTAAGTTAAATTGAAGGAATATTGAAGTGAAGGAAGGGTCAGGAGAGTTATCTAGAGGAGATGTTCCACACATCTCTACCCCCGCTACCCTGTATGACATTGGCCAGTGCTACCAACACCTGTCCAAATCAGACCCTTCAGTCTATTTTCCCAGCCTGTTCTCTGGCGGGTCTCTTCTTGTCCCCCCAGTTCTCACAGCTGCCTGGGCTTTGGCCAGTGTTTGGGGTGAGGCAGGATCAAAATATCACTGCCCTGGGCTCAGCTTCCAGGAGTGAGGGATCAAGTGAAACCCAGGCGCGCGAGTGAGGGGGTGGACTGAAAGCCCCCATACAGAGCCAGCATGCTCTTTACACAAGCCCTGACTTGCCCAGGGACCACGTGGGTGGGCCAGCAGTTTAGCTTCCCTCAGGGATGCTGCACATATCTGATCCACCCCCTCCTCCCTTCTGCTAACTCCCAGCCTCCTCCTCTTCCTTATCTCCCAAGCCCAGATGCTCAAGGTGGTTTGACAAGTCTGGGCATGTTCCCAGTGGCCATCCAGGTCCAGTAAGAAGGCTCTTACAGCGAGGTATTCGCTAAGGCTGTAAGAATATCAGCCTAAGTTCCTGGCACTTCAGATAGTGTTCCCTGTACAAACGGATGAACTGGTAGAGAGCCAGGGGATGCCTTTCCAACCATTCTGACTTTGCAGCACACAAGCATGGAAATCCTGACCTGGTCCTGTATTTCCAAACCTAAATGCCACAGGTTCCGGTCGGCTTGCCACTCCAGGGTATGCTCCCACACGTGCCCAGTAACGGATGGAAGGATGGATCTTACAATCACAACAATGGAATTCCCAGACAAACGCACCTCAACAGAGCAAACATCCCGCTCAGCCCCTGCCCCTCAGTCCCCAGCAAGCATATCACACTCACAGTAGATGAAATCCGTTGCTATCAAAGCTCCGCTCCACTCATTTCATATCCACGTGTAGCAACAGCGGATCAAATCCACCCTCTATTCCTTTCATGCTAAGCCTACTTCCCCCGCCCCTGTGAGGTTTCTGGGGCAGCTATTGGATTATCTGATGTGTCTAGGCGTGGCTATGCAAAGAAACCCCGCCCCCGAAAAGGACACTGTGAGTCTGGGGGGTAAACAGTGACCGAGCCACTGATTGGGCTGGAGTTGCAAAGCTCCTGGGACTGAAGCGGGGGCGAGACGGCAGAGGGCCAGGGACTTTGGTTCAGCCCAGTCTGTGGGAAAGGAGGGAGGGTCAAGTGGTTGGAGGCAGCTAAATGGAGCTCCGCTCTTCAAAGTTTTGTGCATAAGTTAGCAAGGCTGGAGATTGACAGGCAAACTTAGTGTTGCAAAAGTAAGGATTTTTAGACACACGGAATAGCTACTTCCCAGCTCTGATCCTGCCTTAAAAAAAAATCGCTTCAGAAAACTTTTGACTGGAGGAGGAAAGAACCTGAATCTGGGGAAAGACCACTGAAAATTAAGGAAAACTGACTTCTGGACTTGGCTCTGACTTTCTGCACATCCTTCGCCTTTGTGGAGCCCTAGGTCTCCGTACAGGGAAAAGGGTTGACTATCTAGTCTCTAAGGGTCATTTAATAATCACCCTTTGGGAGTTTATAAGTTTGTGATTTCGCTGGCAGCAGTGGGGAAATCCTGGGATGTTGTCCCTGACCTTGAAGAACTTGAAGAGGGTTTAGACAGGACAGACTAGACACAGAGAACAATAAGCAGTATAAAATGCATGAAGCTATGCTTGTGTGGGGATAATGAGTAAATAGAAAATTTCTGTAGCTTCCTCTCAATTTTGTGTGAAACAAAAATTGCTTAAGAAAACTAAGTCTTTGATACAAAATCAAAAAAGGGCTAAACTATGGGATACAGGATAGAAGGGCACTGGGGTGCAGGAAAAAGGAGAACTTAGAAAGGCTCTAAGCAACTTAGTGAGACCCTATCTCAAAATAAAAAGTAAAAAGGGCTAGGGATGATGCTCAATGGTTAATCACCTCTGGGTTCAACCCCAGTATCAAAAAATAAAAATCAGACCAGAATGTGGTCATCACTTAGACTGCTGTTGTGGGCTCAGGCGTAGAAAGAGAATTGCCAGAGTTGTAATTTCAAGTATACTCCTTACTTGTTGTGTGACCTCCAGCAAGTTATTTAACCACTTTGTATCTTAACATATTCATTTATAAAATGGATACAATAATAATCTCTTCCTTAGGATTATTTTGGGGAGTGCATGAGTTTATATAAAAATAGGGTTAATAAATATAAGAAAATTAGAACAATGAGTGGGACATAGAATATAACATACACATGTTTATTAGATATAAATAATACACACACACACATACACATAAGCAATTTAGAGTCCTTATATCTGTGAGATTAAAATGAAAATAGTTGTGCTGTGTAACTCTTAATTCTTCCCAGAGGAGGCAAATTAAGAGTTACAGGTGGAAAACTCAGCTTTATCTCCCAGAGAGTGGACTCTTTCACAAAAGAGGGGCTCTTTGCTTTTTCTCCATCTTGTGCTATCCAGATCTGGTTTACAGTCAGCCCAAAGAACCCTGGCTTTGGATTTAAGAGTCTTGGCAAAATTAACTTCATGGGTAAAAATCAAGTGAGTGTCTTTCTCTCTCAGCCTTTGTAACCTAAAGAGATTCTTAGAATAGATGACCTTGAAACTATAGAGCAGTGCTTTTTACATGTTAATATATACACAGAATCACTTAGGGATTTTATTAATAACACAAATTCTGATTTAGTAGCTCTGCTGTGGGGGCCAAAATTTTGACTTTCTAACAGAGCTCCCAAGTGATGCAGATGCTACTGGGACACAGAAAATTTCAAAATCAAGAGTCTAGAAGGTGGTCAGGGATAGCCTTTACTGAGCATCTGTTGTGTTCGTCAGCATTCCATTACTGAAACAAAATACCTAAGATAACAAATGTATATACAGGAAATATTTATTTTGGCTCACAGTTTTGGAGGTTTCAGTCCATGTTTTGTCGACCCTATTGCTTTTGGATCTGTGGCAAGGGAGGAACGTATCATGACAGGGTGTGGGGTTATAGTGGGGCAAATCCAATCACTTTATTGGCAGGATGCAAAAGAGAGAAAGAGGAAGAGATCTGGGTCCCATTGCCTCCCTTGAGGGCATATCTCCAATGACCAGAAGGCCTCCCACTAGACCTTACCTTTTAGATATTCCACCACTTCTCAATAATGGCATAAGCTGGTGACCAATTCTTTAACACTCATCTATAAATCATGCAAATGTGCCCCTTTGTAACTTAAAAAAGTCCTATGAAATAGTGATTACTATTCCTTATGGATAAAGAGGTTTCTTGTACTCATGACACTGCCTGGAATACTGAAATCAATCTGAGATGAAGGTACTAAGGAAACTTCAGAGGTACTAGCTTTTGTCAGATTATTTAGAAAATGACTATAAGCAAAAAATATGAAGCTAACACTGCCTTCCACCACATCTTGTCCAATAATACTATGATAGCTGGCCCTCACAGAGCACTTTTCAGGCACTGTTCCAACTGTTTTGCATGGATTAATTAATTTAACCTTAAAATAACCAATCAAGCTAAAAGCACTGGAATCATCCTTGACTCTTTTTTTCACCCCATATTCAATCCATCAGCACATCCAATCATCTCTGTCTCCAAAATATTTCCAATGCCACATCTTCTCAGTACCATCACTGTAATTACTTTAGTGAAAATAATCATTACAGGACTCCTTGATCATATAGTTACACTACTCCAGTCAATTCTCAGTAGAGCAGCAGAGTGACCCTTTGAAAACATAAATCAGTCCAAGTCTGTCCAAACCATTCTACTGTTTTGTTAGTCCTAGTATATGTCAAGGTCCTTGACTATCATCAATGAGAGTCTGCAATCTGCCCCACTTAATCCCACTCTCATCAATCTTCCCATATATCTCTAATCTCATTCCTAGCACTCCCCTTGACGACCATACTCAACCATACTGGCCTCTTTGCTATTTATTCTAACACTCAAAGCATGCTGCAGGCTGGTCTGTGCACTTGCTGCTCTTTCAGCCTAGACATTTTTTCCCAAGCTATCTTCATGATTCCTTCCCTCACTTCCTCAATATTTATACTCAAATGTTACCTTATAGTTTCTTACAACACTTTCCTGAATACCCTAATATATGTTAAGGAAATTTCCAGAGACTTTTGGACTCCACTAGGTAGACTTTGCCTCAGGGTTAGCCCCAAGTATGTGCAGTGCAATGTGGCAGTGGGTAGGATTAAGACTCTCAACTCTGAGTTATTCTAGCTTCATGGTCAGTCAGAACTGAAGCTGGGTTGGCTCATTTCTTGGGGACTCCCTGCAAACTTTCCTTTCATAATGGTCAGGAATTATTTTATTTACCCAAAACAGAGTAATCCCAAACAAAGGGTTTCTCTGACTTCACTGTTGTAACTAGCCTAATCTGACAGCAGCCCCCACCCCAACTATTTCTGGGGACAGAGAGGTTCTTCTGTAGCCCAGTGAGAGATCTGGGGCTCCCTGCTGCTAAGTTTTAGCTCTTCTCAGAGGTTACCTAGGGTTGCATACAGTTTAGAGAAGACTGAATAGTCTCTATTTCTAGGGTAACATGCAGGCAGGGTGGCTTCTTATAAAAGAACCTCATTTTATTTTGTCAGACTGGTGCCTTTATAGACCCTCTGGAGCCTGGAAGAGGAACAGAGGTAGAGGCTGAAGCACCAAGAGATGCTGGTTTCTGTGGGGCTGCCCCTTTGGACTACAGCATCTTGAGGAATGTTCCTGAATACAGGATCAATTTCTGGTGTCCTTTAGTAAGCTTGTGGGGAAATGTATAGATGACTTTAATCATAGATGTCAGTTACAATGGCATGTACATGCTTGGGTCTTCTGGATTAGAAAGATGGGACATAAGAAAGTTATTTCTAGTTATGGCATTTTTCAAAATTCATTTGATTTCTAGCATAGTTCATTTTTAATCTTTTCTCTCATTCTTAATCATCTTCTCTTCCACTTGCCCTGAGTTACTGTTTCAGGCTCACTCCTCTTAGTCAAGCACAAAACCAACCCTTAACCTCTTAGTAGATAACTTCACCTCCAGTTCTGCTGAGAAAATAAAAAAAAGCTACAGGCTTCAACTCTCTAAACAACTTCTGATTTCTCCACCTTCAAAATCATTCTTGTCTCTATCTTGGAGCTTCTTTCTGTCCCAAACTAATCTCTCTATCTGTGTTACTGCTTCCGGTCTGATCTACTTTCCTTTTCATGTATCTTTATAGTCTTTCTTTGCCTAGATCCTTCCCTTAACCTGTACCTTTCCATTCTGAACCAAGATTCTGGAAAGAGGTTTTCATAGTCCTTTCATATCTTCACATTCATCTCTCCATTTCTAAACTCATTACATTCTGCTCTCCTCAGGATCACTCATGAATTTCTTGATATCAAACCTATGGATTATTTGAATTCTCCAAAATATACATATTTTTGACTCCTTTTTTCTCCTAATTTTTCTTTTGACTTTCATGGAAGCTATTTATTCTATATTCAGGCCTTTAATTTTTTTTCTGGATTCTCCTTACCCACTTGCCCACCATATGTTGGAGTATTTCAGAGCATTCCAGTTTGTCCCTCTTGCCTGATTCTAACTTCTCTCATTGTAGTGTTAACCTATGTGGTAGACACCTCCTATGTCATTTCACTAATTAATTCCCACATGCAAAATAACACCAAGGGCATCTTAGGCAAGCAGTATACTTTTACATATTTTATACTGTACATAAGTATATGTTGAGTGAATGAATTAATAAATAACTGGATGAGTGAGCCCAAGGAAGTAAATGTTCACATTTGAATACACCCTTCTGTATGTGCTCCTAGGCCTCAAGTGAGTCACCATATTGGAGCCAAAAATATTGGAGCCATACACAATGTAATAGGAATAGCCAAAACTTGATTATTACTTGATCAACTGTATATGTTAAGCTCTGTGCTAAATGT